TACGCTGAGGCAGTGTCAGGGCCTTGGGCCTCTCAGTGGAGAGCTGCCATGGACGCAGAGATGGCCTCCTACAGATCCACAGGCACCTACGTCGATGAGGTTCCCCCTCCGGGGGCGAACGTAGTCGACGGCATGTGGATCTACAGGGTGAAGCGGCCACCGGGATCTCCTCCGGTCTTCAAGGCGCGCTACGTGGCTAGAGGTTTCAGTCAGCGCGAGGGAGTTGACTTCTTTCAGACCTTCGCGCCCACCCCGAAGATGACCACTCTTCGGATGTTACTACACGTAGCAGCACAGAGAGACTACGAGTTACACTCTCTCGACTTCTCTACTGCTTTCCTTCAGGGCAGTCTTCACGAGGAGGTCTGGTTGCGTCGTCCCTCTGCCTTCACTGGCTCTTTCCCTCCTGGGACCCAGTGGAGGCTGAGGCGACCGGTTTACGGTCTTCGTCAGGCTCCTCGTGAGTGGCACGACACCCTGCGTTCTACCCTGTCTGACCTTGGGTTCCAGCCGTCTTCTGCTGACCCGTCGCTGTTCGTTCGTCGTGGCCCCACACCTTTCTTTGTTCTGGTCTACGTTGACGACCTTGTTTTCGCCACCCCTGACAGGGTTGCTTTGGCACACGTGAAGTCCGAACTGCAAAAGAGACACACCTGCACTGATCTTGGTGAGCTGCGCCACTACCTTGGCCTGCAGATCACCAGGGACAGAGCTGCTCGCACCATTACACTTTCACAGTCGCACATGGTGCAGCAGGTCCTTCAGCGGTTCGGGCTTCAGCACTCCACAGTACAGCGCACACCTCTTGCTGTTGACCACAGACTCACTGGACCCTTTCCTGACGAGCCGTTCGAGCCTAGTGGTCCCTACGCAGAGCTTGTGGGTTGCCTCATGTACCTGATGACTTGTACTCGCCCGGACCTCGCCTTCCCTCTCAGCGTTCTTGCGCGCTTTGTTGCGCCAGGGAGACACCGTCCTGTTCACTGGACAGCAGCTGTGAGGGTGGCGAAGTACCTAGCGACGACGTCAGGCGTGGGGCTAGTTCTTGGAGGGCAGCAGTCTGTCGTACTTACTGGTCACTGTGACTCCTCTTACGCTGACGACGCTGAGACTCACAGGTCTACTCAGGGGTACTGTTTCAGCCTGGGTTCTGGAGCTGTTTCCTGGCGGTCCACGCGCTCCTCTTCGGTCTCGACCTCTACAGCTGAGGCTGAGATCTACGCTGGTGCCATGGCGGCACAGGAGCTGCGTTGGTTGACCTTCTTGCTCACCGACCTTGGTGAGCGGCCGAGCTCTGCACCGACCTTGTTCACTGACAACAAGGCGTCTATTCTCCTTTGTCGAGAGCCACGACTGGAGAGCAGAGTGAAGCACATTCACGTCAGGTACTTTCTTCTGCGAGAGTTGCAGAGGCGTGGACAGGCTCGCTTTGAGTTTGTGGAGTCCGAGGCCAACACTGCAGACATCTTCACCAAGGCGCTTCCGCCTTGTGACCACCAGAGGTGCTGTGTGCAGTTAGGCCTTGTTGACACTGGTTCTCGTGTTGCTTAGACTTGAGTGTACTGTTTACTTTGCTTTCTATATATCTCTGTTACTTCTTGGACTGGCCTTGTGGCCACTGTTGTTTGTGCTCAGACTGTGTGGTGACGTTGTGATCCACCTTGAGCTTTGTTTCTTGGACTGGTCTTGTGACCGTACTCGTTTGGTTCTGCTAGACACCCCTCACTTAGGCTATGGGGGTGTGTCAAATGTTGTAGCCTATAGTGAGGTTTGTCTTAAGGGGTACAAAACTTAGGGTTAGCTATATGTACCCCAACCAACATCAATGCATCATCCATTCTTCATTCTGACACAACACTCATTTCCAAGTCCCGTCACGAGTTTCTGGCTCCGCTCACTCGTTTTCGCCTCCCCTCGTTCATTCGAGCCTCCCAACAGTCAATTCCGCCTGCCTTCACTCATGTATGCCGCCCTCCCTTCATATCCGCCTCCATTCGCTCGAGATGCTATGTTTCTGAACGCGGAATGCTCTAACGGGAGGACTCGAATGATATGTCTAAGCACACATGATGCCTTGGTGCGGAAATTGCGTGATGCATTCTGTCATTCCCTCATTCACCGCGAAATTTCTGGGGACGGCAGATCCTGTTGAATTTCGGCGACTTCGCTTCTATGAGCCAAAACCAGCTAATATTCGTAGATGAAGCATTAGCGTCGTCGTTTTCTCCAAACACTCTAAAAATAACTCCCAGTATTTCCAAGTGCCTTACATATTCAGTAACAAACTAGTTTCGTCAGAGAATTGGTGTACCGAGCATGGTGGATGAAGCTATGAGACAAGGACCGTTAGACAGTGCGCGCTTCGTAGCCTAAACCCGTGTATCCACAAAGCGTTTGGGTGGTACGCTGACTATTGTACTCATAAAGGCCTCTATTGGCGTGTGGTGTGTGGTGTGGTTATAGCTGTCGAGTGAAAATTGTGGCTGTGGTTTGTTGTTGGTGCGCTGCGGATGTCAATTTCCTCCCCCCAATCCCTTCCCCTTGCGCGCGTTTGTCCCTTGGTAAGTGTGCCTTCCTTCCCCACTACGAATTTCGCACTCATTTCGTTTTTTTCGTCACGGCCTGTTCAACTCCTTTTGTATCGCACCACTGAGCCAATTTCGCGCAGTGCTGACGTCAGCACTGTTCCTTTGCCAAAAGTGACCCGTCGCTTTAAAGCCAGCAGCTAAAATAGTGACCCCCCCTTCTAGTTGGGTCCACTTGAAATCTCAAACTCACTTTCGAAAAATGAAGTGTTTTACCGAAATATTTTCACAGGCGCGAGAAACACTGGTTGAGTCTTTCACGATTTTTTATCAAACAACAATCGTCGCAAGCATGGGCAAATGTGTCGCAAGCATGGGCAAATGTGTCGCAAGTTTGCGACGTGCAAATCCCATGCACATTCCGTGCCAATTTCGACTACTGCTTGCATGTGCAATTCAGGCAGAGCAATTGCCATTCACATGTGCCTGCAAGGCCTGCAATCACAACGGAGGAAAATCAAGAGGAAAACAACAGAGAGTTTCAATGTGACGAGATACGATAGAGATAGGGCGACGAAAACGAGGACGCGTGCAGAGAAATGTGAGAGCAATATCGCGGAATGGTAGTGCGCGAGGGCGACGAGATGGGTGATGGGAGGGGAGAGAAGAAGGGTGACGGGAGGGCATTTCGAGGAGAGCGTGAGGGCAACGAGGTCGGTGATGTGAAGGGAAATACGAAATGCGACGGGCGAGCATTTCAGGCTGAGCGCGAGGACGACGAGGTACGAAGCGCGTGGGTGATTCGAGGGTACGAAGGGCGCGGGGAGGGCGTTCCAGATCGAGCGCGACGACGACGAGTTGGGCGATGGGAGGGGAGGTTGGATGGGGGAGGAGAGAGCGATGGCGACGGGAAGGGCGAGGAGAGAGGGAGGGCGACGGAAAGGGAGGGAAGAGAGCGAAGGAGATGGGAAGGACGCGGAGAGAGGGAGGGCGACGGGAAGGGAGGGGAGAGTGCGAAGGAGATGGGAAGGGCGAGGAGAGAGGGAGGGTGACGGGAAGGGAGGGAAGAGAGCGAAGGAGATGGGAAGGGCGCGGAGAGAGGGAGGGCGATGGGAAGGGAGGGAAGAGAGCGAAGGAGATGGGACGGGCACGGAGAGAGGGAGGGCGACGGGAAGGGAGGGGAGAGAGCGAAGGAGATGGGACGGGCACGGAGAGAGGGAGGGCGACGGGAAGGGAGGGGAGAGAGCGAAGGAGATGGGACGGGCACGGAGAGAGGGAGGGCGACGGGAAGGGAGGGGAGAGAGCGAAGGAGATGGGACGGGCACGGAGAGAGGGAGGGCGACGGGAAGGGAGGGGAGAGAGCGAAGGAGATGGGACGGGCACGGAGAGAGGGAGGGCGACGGGAAGGGAGGGGAGAGAGCGAAGGAGATGGGACGGGCACGGAGAGAGGGAGGGCGACGGGAAGGGAGGGGAGAGAGCGAAGGAGATGGGACGGGCACGGAGAGAGGGAGGGCGACGGGAAGGGAGGGGAGAGAGCGAAGGAGATGGGACGGGCACGGAGAGAGGGAGGGCGACGGGAAGGGAGGGGAGAGAGCGAAGGAGATGGGACGGGCACGGAGAGAGGGAGGGCGACGGGAAGGGAGGGGAGAGAGCGAAGGAGATGGGACGGGCACGGAGAGAGGGAGGGCGACGGGAAGGGAGGGGAGAGAGCGAAGGAGATGGGACGGGCACGGAGAGAGGGAGGGCGACGGGAGAGTGGAGGGTAACAACGAAGGAACGACGGGAAGGGAGGGGGACGAAGATTGCGCGGGGAGAGAGAACGTGAGGGTGACGCGGCCAAGAAGGAGCGAGAGTAGTCGAGGGTGACGGGATATTGATGTTTGCGCGCCACGGAAATACTAACGTTACGCTAGTGGTGTACGTATTACATTGCGTACCCAAGCTAAGTCGAAAGATAACACACTTGAACTACGGAAAAAATCGCGTTGGGCCTGGGTCACGAGAAACGACTGAGGTTTCAGCTAACTCAGGCACAGAAGTAGTGACTGCTGGAGAACTAAACAGAGTCGTCGTGAACCCAGTTCCAGCTTAACCATAGTTGGGCCTAGCGACCAAAACCGTCGCCTGCAACGGTCGGTTGGGTCCAGCACGTAGAGATGCGATGGGTGATGTTCCTTTTGGCGGGAGCCCAGAAAATGTTCCTTTTCGCGCTAGCCAATCACATTCTTTTGGTCTGAACACTTCTGTTGTGTTGTACAGTGCTTTGTTGGCCCGATCCCTTTCTCTCGTCGCAACACCTGGGTCGGGGTTCACTATTTTGCATTTCGGTTTTAAGCAAGGAATCGAGAATGTAGACGTTGGATGCGCATATCAGAAAGTGCATCATACCATTCGATAGTTTCAATAGACAAACCTAATTGAGGATCTCAATCACAATCAGTATGAACCTGCAACCCATACATATCTCTCACACCTTTAGTGTACCTTGCCACACCCTTTAACAGACAAGCTGTGTAGCATCTTTAGCTGGGTGAAATCTTCCGGCAGAGCAGCCAACTGCTCGCACCCATCCAGGTTAAGTTGCTTGAGCCGGCTCAGCTGTCCAAAGTGGCAAGGCAGGGAGCGTATGGCGGTGCAGCTGAGGTTCAGCTCATGAAGGCAGGAAAGCTGGGTGAGAGAAGCAGGGAGCAGGGCGAGGGATGAGCACTCTTCAAGATTCAGCTGGCGCAGCCGAGATAGAGCCCCGATGCCCTCCGGAAGAGAGGAAAGCTTAGGCGCATGTATCTCAACAAAAGTCAGGGATTGAAGCTCCATAAAACTCTCCGGCAGCTCTGTTAACTCCTTAGCCCGACGGATCTCCAGCCACCTTAGCCCCGTCAAGGCCGAACCAAGCCCTTTCGGAAACTTTTTCATCCAAGCAGCCCTTTCGACTGTCAAATGGCGGAGCTTAGGAAGGGAGTCACGAGACAACGAAAACTCCTTTGTATTTCCAACGAACTCCAGCTGTAAGTGCTCTAGAGAGGGCAGAGTCAAGCCAGCGGCCAGGCCACCCATAAGCCCTTCACTGGTCGAGCTCAATTCTCTCAGGTTAGGCAGTGCAGGGGTATCCAGCAGAGAGGTAAGCCGCTCGAAGCTCCCTAGGGAAAGAAGCTTGAGGGAACAGGGCAGGGATCCCGATACTTCTTCTAGGTAGGGGAGCTTGGCTAGTGCCAAAATTTTCAGCCTGCTAAAGTTGCTCAAGCTGCTGGGGATTGCAGTAAGGCTTTCGCAGCCCACAACTTTCAGAACCTCTAGGTTGATAAGGTCAGTGAGAGACTCTGGAAGCTTCTTTAAAACAGGACAGCACTGGATGGTCAGTACCCGCAGGTTACTCAGCTTCCCCACGTCCTCTGAAAGTTTGGCTAGTATCCTGCACTGGGTGAGATGGAGACTTGTGAGGGTAGACAGTTGCGTGAACGAGGATGGAAGCAGCTGCTGGGAGAAGTGTCTTGATAATCGGAAGGTGTGGAGATTGGTGAGTGAGCCTATGTCGTCTGGGAGTCTCAAGTCTGAATCGAGGATACTCAAGGAGTTGAGTGCGGTGAGAAAACCGAACCTTGCAGGCAGCTCCAAGATTTCGTAGCAGTGAGACAGGCACAGGGTTTCTAGGGATGTCAGCTGAGTGAACGAATCCGGAAGACTCGAGAGTGGCAGGAGGTTCAGCGTCAACGTTTTCAGAGCGTGCAGATTTCCAAAATTTTCAGGCAGCTCGAGAAGTTTTTCGCATCCGCACAAGCTCAGTTCGCGAAGGCCTGGCAGTCGTTGGCCAATGTCGTCAGGAAACCGCTCGAGGCTGTCGCAGCCTTTGATAAGCAACCGCTCGAGACGAGTAAACGAATTTCCTGATGGAAACAACAGCTCGAACCGCGGACACCACGTCTCGAACTCCAGGGCTTTCAGCGATGGCATCTGGGCGAATGAAAAGGGGTTAGATGCTTCTCCGCTTTCTAGATTCGGACATGTGTTGTCGAATAAAACGAGGGTGGAGACGGCTGGGAGATGCGCGAGGCTTGCAAGATTCATATCTTCCCGATCGGGAATGCCGACGGAGAGCGCGGTGAGAGAAGTCAGGTTTGTGAACCCTGGAGCTTCGGGAGGCGAGCCTTCGGTGAGAGTGAGGGTGTGAAGGTTGGTGAGGAGAGAGAGAGAATCCGGCAGCCTGCCGTAATAATGCAGGCAGTAGAGCGAGAGGTGCTGCAGCTGAGTGCAGCGGCGGATGAATCGGTCCAAACCGGTCTCCGTCACTGGATGCTCCTTCGGCCGGCACCAGTCCGATTTCGACGTGATCTCGCTCCCCACGTGCAGCGACACCAGATTAGGGCATGACGAAGCGAGGAAATCGAAAAACGCGTCGTCGATGGTTTCTACGCTGTTGTCGCTGAGATGCAGATGGGAGAGGTTTGAGAAGCACTTGATGACTGCGGTGAGATCTTGGAGCGAAACGACGACGTTTTTCTTCACGACGAGCATGGAGACCTGCTGGCGAGCCACGCGACGCCAGCGCGTGCAGACGGACGCAATGCGGAGATTATACGCCGGATCTGTGAGCACGGTAGGAGCTGACAACGGAGAATAAATGGTATTAGCTCTAAGACCAGTGAGAGCATTGTCTCTGTTCCGCTGCAGGAAGGACGGTCCGGATGATCCATCGGAGGCGTTGAGATCGTCGCCGTAGGGGTTTTCAGAGGTGTACCTAAGTCGCGGCAAGATGGACATGAATGAATCACTCAGGTGTTCGGATTGACGGCGAGCTGGGACGTGCTTCTGGGAATACCAGAGGATCTTAACAAGGAGGTCATCTGACAGGTTATTGATGTATGCGGGAGGCATGGCGCCTGAGCTATAAACGGCTGACATGATGAACGAGCTTTATGTGGTTCTAGTGATTATGAACTAAAATCTGTCTGCAGGAGGAACGCACGCTACTCTATGAGAGTTTAGTGAGGTCTAAGAGCGTGTAACCATTTTGCCATTTTTCCATCCGGACGGTCCGAATTGTGGACCGTCCGGATTTGCGAAATATTACCCACTTCGTAAAATTTCGTGTGGTGTTTCGCCAAACCCCTTGCGACGTCGCCAAAAACTACGAACCATATGACACTTTTCTCCCTTTCCCTCCGTCCGAAACTGCCATTTCGGACCGTCCGAAACCACAACGGACGGTCCGCCACCACTCCGCCTGGATTGGCGCGCGAAATTCATATCTACACCCCTCTGCCGAGCCGCCCTGTGCAAAATTTTGGCGCACATGCGGCCCGAGATTGTCAATCAGAACGCCCGAGATGGATCACCCAGGCAGCCTAGATGTCACTACAAAATGTTTGAAATCGAGCCGCTATGCTGGCTCGCGATACTTGCGAATGTTTGTACATTGGTTTGTTTGGTTAGCGAGGGCTGGGCGACGCTACAGTTCTCGCGAGACTGGGGAGGTGTGAAAAAGTGTCACTTTTCTATTCGGACGGTGCCACGGTTCCGAAACTTCAAAGCGGACGGTCCTGTTCTCGTTATTAGGACCGTCCGCTTAATACTATACGGAGTCCGCAAAATCGTAAAAAATCGAAATGGTTACACGCCCTAAAGAGCTCCTGGAGTTCGATCCTGGTATGCTCCGTTCACCTCACGGCGTGACCCAATCTCCTACGTTCTGCTCTGCTAATTCCCCTGAGGCCTGGTATTTCTCGTGACGGAGTTGAACTTCTGAAATAGTTTCCCTGCTTCGTCAACGTCGTCATAGCTGTTCGTTGAACTTTCTGACAGAACCTCTGGGTTCGTTAAGAATTCGAACAACGGAAATCTGTAACAAAATCTGACGTTTTGTTTAAATGTACCACGCCTTGATCGTAAGTGGGTTCGAAATGGAGTGGGTAAGAATGAGCGGAAACAGCAGCAGGTTCCGGACGGACACTACACGAGTGTTACGACTGCCCGCGTTTAGACGCAAACTGACAATTGATGTTAGAAGGTGTTCCTGGGAATGGCCTGGACACCGTCCGGCCAAATGACGTGTAGGGCGTGGGAAACACGTGACCTACTAATTTCAGCACCACTGTGCAGGTGCACACGTGCACCAATAATATTTCATAACTACGTTTCAAACCCCAAGACTGTTTAAGCTTACCGAATCATTTCTCGACAAGTCGTAAAATAACTTCTGAGATTCGTGTCGGCGCATGCCATTCCAAACTCGCGCGTAGACTGCTGACATGGCGTTTTTGCTGCTTACGTGGTGGCCAGACTTGAAATGGCTTGGACATCCCAGGAATGCCATCTTAGAGAGCACTATTGAGACGCCTTATAACGAATTAATAAGTAGAAACGAGGTAAAGCTGGAGTAAACTCGAGGTAGAATCGACACCGTTGCCGCATTGACAGTCGCTTTCGCATTTGCAGTCGCATACAATGTCGCCTTCGCGGTCGCACGAGCTGCCTCTCACAGAGCGACCGAATGAGATGTCCTCGGCAATAGACGTCGCGTCGCCGGACGAAATCGTGCGAATTTTCCGCGCGTGCGACGCGCAGCTTTTCGCCGGCTATGCGGGTTACCCCGGCCTGATGGACGACGAGGTGAGCGTCCGAAAGCGGTCAACCTCGAAAAAGCTTTCGTAGGCTGACGACAACTGTGCTTCGTTTAGAGCAAACTCTATTGAGGAAAAGCCTGCCTGCCAGGAGTGCTCTGACCAAGCAGAACGTCTTCGTTTTCGTGTATTCTGCCACGAATACTTTCTCAGCCCACTCTGTTTCAAGTCTGAATGAAAATGCGTGTGTGATGCCTTTGAGGCGTGATGCACGAAGATAGGAAGTGGAGAAGGGGAGCGCAGCGCAGTAGGGGGGATGCAGAAAGGGGGGAGGGGGGGGGGGGGATGGTTGCAGGGAGGGGAAGTGCAGAAAGGGGAGTGTAGAGGGGGGAGCGCAGAGGGGGGAGCGCATAGGGGGGAGGGAGCGCAGAGGGGGAGAGCGCAGAGGGAGGAGCGCATAGGGGGGAGCGCAGAGGGGAGAGCGCAGAGGGGGGAGCGCATAGGGGGGAGCGCAGAGGGGGGAGCGCAGAGGGGGGAGCGCATAGGGGGGAGGGAGCGCAGAGGGGGAGAGCGCAGAGGGAGGAGCGCATAGGGGGGAGCGCAGAGGGGAGAGCGCAGAGGGGGGAGCGCATAGGGGGGAGCGCAGAGGGGGGAGCGCAGAGGGGGGGAGCGCAGAGGGGGGGAGCGCAGAGGGGGGGAGCGCTGAGGGGGGAGCGCTGAGGGGGGAGTGCAGAGGGGTGAGTATGGAGCTGAGAGTGAGGGTAACTAAATAATTTTCTTGGTTTCTGTTGGTTTTTGATTTCCCTCAGTTATGCTGTGATGATGTGCAGGGACGCTCTTATGCTGTGATGATGTGCAGGGACGCTCTTATGCTGTGATGATGTGCAGGGACGCTCTTATGCTGTGATTATGCTACAAGCTGAGCATTCCCTTAGCGCTCTGTCCACTCCCTTTGATTCCTCTGCCTTGCCCCTTTTCCACCTCTTTCCCCCTCCCCCCTGTCCGCCCCCCTTCATTCCCCCCTGCCCGCCCTCTCCATTTCCCCCTGTCCGTTTCCCTCCCCTCCTTCCTGTCCACCACTCTTCCCTGTCCGCCCTCCCCCCCCCTGTCCTCTACCCCTTCTTTCTCTCCATCAGACCATTCGAGTCGTCGACCAGCTCACAGCAGTGGCAGCTGAAATCGTCTCCTTTTCGAAGGCATGCCATTTCCTCTCTCTACCTATTTCTCGTCCTCTTTCTCTTCCGTTTCGTCTTCCTCTTCCCTTCCTCTTTCTTTTCTCGTCCTCTTTCTCTTACTCTTTTTCGTTGTCTTCCTCTTTCGCTTGCTCTTCCTCTTCCTTCCTCTTCCTGTTTCTCTTGCTCTTTCCACATTCCACACTCTCCTTCTCGACAATCCATCCATCCCTCAATCGCTCCCGCTCTCTCTCTCTTCCATTCATCTCTCATCTCTCATCTCGAATGACCATTCCCCCCCCCTTCTCCTCTATCCCATCTCCTGTCTAATAGCACTATGTGTAATTTCATATTTCATACATAGGCTAGAATTAGATGTGTAGCACATTTAAACACACTATACTCCACATATCCTCTTCCCCCCCCGGCCCCCTCCCCCTTCCAATGATCAACCCACCCCCACCACCTTCACCTCCAGGATAGTGCAGTGGTGCTCTCATCAGGTGCCGGAACCTCTCGCATGCCCTCTCCCACCCACCTCTTCCCCTTCCCAACCTAATCATGGTCCTCCGCACTGCCTTCTCCCCTTCTCCCCT